TATATATATATATATGTCATGTTATTAGATGAATATTCATGCTTTAATGCAGTAGTTTACTGTTGCAATGGGTTGAATAATTGTTTAATCTGTGAAAATGCATTTTTTTTTTATTGTTGACCATAAACTGCATGCAAAACTTGAGTCGCCATATTAAGAAGTCACTTAAGTTGTCACACTAATGTAGCATGGCAAAAAGTTAAATATATCCCTCTGAAATGTAACGTAGCATAAAATGGAAATACTGAAAAAAATGCACATATACCTAAGGACAGTATTAACATGCCAATTATTATGTTCAGCATTAACATCAGAAACATGACGTTCTGTGGCTCTGAGACAGGGCATTTGTGTTTCTGAATGAAAAGCTGACGCATACTTTTAGCGGTTTCAACATTAACCAATTTCCTGGTTAATTCTTTAGAGCTACAACCAAAAAGTTGTTGTGTTTTTGTTATTCACCACTAGAGCATTTAGTTTTTAAAATGTCCAAAAAAGAAAAGAGGCAATGCTTTTCAAACTGCTCAAAAATAAAAACATTTATTAAGATTTCATTCAAACAAAAACAGCAAATACTTTTAACAGGTTATAAATAAATTAAAGTTTAATGGATCAGTTTTTAGTCAGTAGATTCAGCTCTAAAATCCTTTACATTATTTCCCTGCACTGGACAAAAAGAACATTTTGCACTCGCTGGGTTACACAGAAAATGGTAGCAGAAAAAACTGAACTGTTTGTTTGTAAAACATTATGATGCCTGCTTGATGCTGTCTGTTATATGTTTGTACACAAATCATCATTAATGTGGATTATTTAGCACGTTTGTAGCATGAGGAAATGAAAGCAAATTTAAGGCATTTTAAATTTGTAGTTTAATTTGTGTATTTCTAATGCAACATAGTGTTTCAAAAATCTTTTTTACTTATTAAGATATTTGTTGGAGGTTAATAATCTGCGAGGCGGAGAGTAATTTTTTCTGTACTAGTCTTAATCATCGAGTTGCGCTAAATTCCATGTGTTTTTTGCACAACAATGTCTGGTGAAAGTGTATTAATTCGTTCATTTTTGATTTAAACAGGCAGTGTCACTGACATCAAGATCTGTTTTTCAAAGCAGAACTGTGAACAAGAAAAAGGTGAAATATTTATGTTTATTTATATATATATATGT